AAAACAAAAACTTACCACAAACACCAATACGAACACAAAGAAAAAAGCAAACGAAAACAAACCAAATCCAAACACAAAACCAACCACAAACACAAACCCAAAGAAAAAAACAAACGAAAAAGCAAACGAAAACAAACCAAATACAAACGCAAAACCAACCACAAACCCAAAGAAAAAAAACACAAAAGAAAAAACAAACGAAAACAAACCAAATCCAAACGCAAAACCAACCTCAAACACAAATACAAACACAAACCCAATGAAAATAAAACACAAACGAAAACGAAAAAAGAAAGAACAGAAACGAACCAAATCAAAACGCAACCTCTAACGCAAACCCAACCTAAACACAAAGAAAACACTAACGCGAATATAAACGCAAAGCGCTCACGGGGCTGAATCGCCTGCTTCAACTTAATAAACGACTATAGTACCCCAACTTATTCATAGTCTTTTGCACTCACTTTAATGAACGTAGGCGCGAAACCGAACACGGGAGGCCCGGGGCCCCAAATAGCACCCTGTCTGGGCGCCAGAGGACGCACCACGACGTCACCGCCTGATTGAACTTAGTAAACGCCTATAGTGCATAACTTATTTATAGTCTTTTGAACTCACGCGAACGTAGATACCATAGCGTACACCGGAAGGCCCGGGGCGCCAAATAGCACCCTGTCGGGGTGCCGGAGGACGCCCGGATTTGATTCACTTAAAGACTATAGTAACCTTTCTTATCCATAGTCTATCGCACTGTTTAAAACAAAATTATGCAGCATAGCGCTCACATGATAGCCCAGGGTGCCAAATCAAACCGTGCAGGGGCGCCGGCGGACGCGCCTGTTTCAATTTAGTGAACAAAAATGATAATACTCCAAGCTTATCCGTAAATGGAAAGAAATAAACGTATATGATTTGTAGGACCTGGCTTATTAAATGTTATTGATTTAAAAAAAAATAATAATTATTGAACAGTATGTTCAGTGTATAGAATAAATAAAAGGCAATGTTAAAAATACCTAACGACATTGCACTTAATCAATCCCCGCTAATTGTGTAATTATTTTTTTTTTCTTAACACCAAAAACAAAGTAATAAAATGATAATTCTCTCTTCTTAAGGATTTATTTTTCATTAAAGGGAAGTAACTTTGCAGTCAATACATTTCCGACACAATTTTAGAAATTTTATAAACGTCGATACACTTTTTAAAAATTTTATGTCGCGTTCATAATTGAAAATTATTCTTCTAAGTGAATAGAATGAAAATTGTTTTTAAAGACTTTCAATGGTAATTTTTCGACTCGTACATTTAGACTTTGAGCACGATAAAAAATCTAACACTTAAATCCGTAGAAGTGTCAACGACAAACTTTTTTGTTTTTTGCCACACGTTACAGAACTGAGCTTTATATATTAGATTCCTTTTCCTTTAATAAAGCTCCCTCTCTTCTAGAGGTTTCTCCTCAAGGAGTATCACCCCAGCCAACAAACTCTCATCAAATACACCTTCATTAATAAAATGAACTAGAATTTTATCTCTTAACACCTCTGATTTCTGAGTGACAGAATAATCCAACTTCAATTCCTTAACAACACTAATCAAAACTTTCCTACTCAACTTCTCTACCTCCTCAACTGTGGGATTTAACAAGAAAGACTCCATTACAACTAACTTCAAAATCAAAACAAGCCTAAATTAACACAGAGCGTTGGGCTGTGAACTTGACCTTAAATCTAGGACGTGACACGTCTGGCCTTTTTGACCTAGATAACTCTAGCCTTGAGCGCGTTTTAATAACACGGCTCCACTGGATAGATAAACAACTAAATCAAACTAAACCTAGTGTTTAACTGTTATAACCAACAACTCGAACAAACGATTAAATGCCGGCGAGTCCCCACTTTGTAACGGACACCTATCTACCAGCCAGATAGATGGTGAACGCTCCCGGATTCTTTCTTGGGGTTATATGCAAATGACCTAAAGCCTAAATGAATGAAAACTAACTCAACAACTCACTAGGGCTCGATTTCGAGGTCTAGGGAAAACTAGTGAAACTATTGAAGTTAACAACTCATTCAATCTGCATACAACTTTTAATAAGTGAACAAAGTTGTGGCAGAACACTAGGTTAAACAAGATAAAATATTTAGTTTAGAAATAACAAAACCCAACTTACAAAGCGTAATAATAAATACTATCACAGATTCTAACACTTTATAAAAATAGCCACAGGTCACATAACACTGCTATAGCATCAAGAATCACTTGGCCACAAGTAATATAATACTAGGATACTTAAACAACTTAATAATACATAGCACACTCAAGACTTATGCTCTCTCACATTCAACTGGCCAAAATGGACTGCCTCGAGATACCTGTGGGCGATCTATTTATAGACTTAGGTAACATGGAAGGTCACCTTCAGATCGTAAGACCATTGGTTGAGGTGGTCATCTGGTCTGAAACAATCAATCATCTCTCGATGGAAAATTTCTGAGTCTAAGACTCTCTAGTAAGACAGCGGAAAAAAACCGGTGGTTGCACCACAAACCATATATGGTATTATAACAATGTCAAACTAAAAATAAAACATTACTAGACCTAAGTAGGTCACAATCTTCTGTCAAATTTTGAGTAATTTCCGTTGACCAAAAGTACTAATTTAAGCTATTTCCGATTTCTCAAAAAAACGCATGTAAATTTATAAAGTACTAATAATATTCCGCACTATTATGCATATTTTGTTTTGGCGTTCGCTTGGTGCGCAATTCTTTTTTCTACGAGATCCTATTCTATTTTTAAAACTTTAAGTAATTAAAAATCATGTCTATATTACGAGTTGCCATCCCACGTAGTGTTTTATAAGAATATTCGAGAAAGTTTAGGGGAGATCACTCCCGGTTTATATAGTATTGAAAATATAGCAAAATTATTCTAACATATCTTACACAATATAAAAATAATAACAAAGTCTATTAAATATATTTAAATGGGTTTAATTGAACATTTATTGTCATACCCCCAAAATCAGCATTTGGGGTAAATGGAGCCGAGCAATGGGGCAATAAGTATTATCTCCTTGTTTAGACTAACTCCACAATAAAAATAATTAATTTCTAACCCCAATTTAGTTAATGCTGTGTACACACACTTTAACTGATACTAGCTATCACTAGGCCCCAATTGCAAGTGTACATAGGGCCTACAGTCTAGTAGTTCACAGTAGGCACATTAGTATGCCTAGTGTGTAGTTAGTATACTAGTGTGTAGCTGTCCAGAGTTAACATTCTTGGATGTAAAAAGGGGTGGTACTAACTAATCTGCCCTAATGCTTTCTCCTGATAAACCATGTGTGCTATACATTACATAACATGACATGACATTGAGGTGAGAAATGTTGGTGGGGGGGGGGGGGAGCAGTGATACTGGTTTCCCCTTTGTTCTCTTTGCTGGACCCCGAGGGCCATAAATTACATAAGGAGATGCTATCTCTGGTTGGCTGAGATCTAAGAACTAAGTCCATGTTACCTATAAAGAGATATGTTTTATGGTGGGTTTGATACAGGTGGGGGCTGGGTATCATGGGGTGAGAAATTGTAAGGAGGGGAGCAGTGGTATTAATGTGCCTGTTTACTTCCCTGCTGGACCATGAGGGTCATAAATTACATAACATACCACCCCAGATTGGCTGAGACCTAAGAACATTTATTCCTGTTTCCTACAAAGAGATTAGAAGTTTTATGGTTGGTTAGAAACAGGTGGGGGTGAGTCGGTTGTATTGCCCCTTAGGGGTAATAAGTATGTGTACTATTTCAAAAATTACCTGGCTAACATGAGATGGCTGAATTTTTACTTTTTAGCAGGTTAGAATTGTATTTCTATTATTTAGACCAGGGGTCGGCAACCTTTTGAAGCGGAAGAGCCAAAAGTTACGATTTTCAAAATTTCCCTGGTTTTAAAGAGCCACTAACATTTTTTATCTTATATTTTTATTAAGATTATTAGTATTTATTCAAGGAGCTGAAGAGCCGCATCTTGATATCAAAAGAGCCGCATGCGGCTCGCGAGCCGCAGGTTGCCGACCCCTGATTTAGACACAAGTCTGTTTAACAATTAATACATTTTGTGTTAACTATTCCTATACCAGTGTCATATTCAGTGGTCTAATAAATGAGAAACTTGCACAGAGGGTAACAAGAGCCACATGACAGTATCTGTTATAACTTTTCTGAACAGGCAAGCTAGTGGACAAAATGTATGTATTTATGTAGATTTAGTTATTATCTAACAAATTAAACCATTATGGTAATGATAAGTCAAGTTTTACTCTGATAATGATAAAAATTTTATTGCATGGTAAATCGGGACAAATGTCGGCCATTTTGTTTTGGTACCAATAATCATTGTGCAAAACAAATTCACCAAAATAAAACTATTCTAGCCATAGCTATAAAAATAGTGTTAAAATGTACAACAACCAATGCTCTAATACAGGAATAAAGAATGGGCTTGAAAAACTCATCTGGTTTATTACAAAGTGAAGTTTCCCAAGTTATGTCTATTTGGAAAAAAAGTTCACAAAATGGTTTTATGGAGATGAGAAATTTCAGGGAAAGAGCAGTGGGATTAAATCCTGTCTCATCCTCTCCCTATTGGACCAAGTGGGTCATAAATTACATAAAACGAATCCTCTGCTTCTCTGTTATCAAAGAACAGCAGTGGTTGTTACCTCAGAAGTAGATTAGCAGTGTTATTGGGGGGTTTTGTGGGGGTGGGCTGATGATCGGGGCCTAATACCACACGGCTCTTAGTGCCCTGCTTTACCCTATATATATATATATATATATATATATATATATATATATATATATATATATATATATATATATATATATATATATATATATATATATATTTATATATATATTTATATTTATATATATATTAATTGTGAGAGCAGGACGTTTACCCGAATGCCACTAAAGCCAGAATTGACTTTCGATCGAATGCGGGATTTCGTCCTATTCGAATAAATAATTATTGTTACTAGCTTCGGAAAGTTTTATACGAGTTACATAGTAGTGTTACAAACTATCTACTTGTAATGTTAGTTATATACAAATCTGTCACGTATCAACGTTGTTCCTATATCCTGGTATTCAAATCATGCTCAGCGGTGTTAAGAGACTCTTTACTGCCAATATAGCCCAGATTATCCTCCCCTTCTTCCACCGAGTGGCGTGTTGACATCCTGTCAATCATCGAGCCTGGACACACAGGTATGTACCTGTGATAAACAAACATAGGTCACCATACAGGTATGTACCTGTGATAAACAAACATAGGTCACCACACAGGTATGTACCTGTGATAAACATACATAGGTCACCATACAGGTATGTACCAGTGATAAACATACATAGGTCACCACACAGGTATGTACCTGTGATAAACATACATAGGTCACCACACAGGTATGTACCTGTGATAAACATACATAGGTCACCACACAGGTATGTACCTGTGATAAACAAACATAGGTCACCATACAGGTATGTACCTGTGATAAACATACATAGATAACAACACAGGTATGTAGCCAACATACATAGGTCACCTGATTAGTCGATTCTAATTAGACATTTCGTTATGGAAGTGAAATTTACCCGTATATATTCTTAATAAAATATTTAAAAATTAATTTTTCTGCCTTCAGACAAAAGTTTGCTTACATCCTAGAAAAAAAGATATGCAATACTTTTGCCTTGAAGAAACTAAAAGATATAGACACATGTAAGTATAATCATTTATAAAAAGGTTAGGCCACTAAACTACCGCCACCCCCCCCCCCCCCCCCCCATCCCAAATCCTTACACACCTTTCCCTCACGTTTTTCTAGACTCACTTGGTACACGGTAATTTGTTGAGGAAGGGTTGAATCAGTGGGATGTCATAGACTGACAGATCACCGCTAGATCCTTCCGCCTGCTGGTTCCAGTGTAGCAGTCCGCGTTCTTCTCTAGTTCCTGGTTACAAACGAATGCAAGCAACACAGCACAGTATGTAAACAGTATGTAATAATATTATTTATGTTTAAAACTACCCATAGTACATAAATAAATGCAAGTATATATAACTATATATATGTGTGTGTATGTGTGTGTATACATGTGCTTAATGATACTTAATCTTATTATTTTACTAAATAAACTGTCTTAGATCATTTTGACATTATATAATGCATGTACTTGTTCAATGTCCCCCGCTTTTAAATATTTAAAAAAAAATTAAGATATGTCTACTTTTGGTTCATTTATTGTTTAATCAGGATGTGTGACTCTCATACCAGTCATGCACATCTTTAGAAACAATGCAGTCTGATGCACCTACCTGGAATAGTGTTGTCCAGTATAAAAGCCATGATACCGCCCACAAACATGGAGGTGCCAAACAACACGGTCAGTACTTGATCAGCCAGAGCATCGCCTTTAGAAAAGTTAAACGCTAACCGTAGACCTTATTATATTCATATTACACGCATAAAACCCATAGCTATAACTTAACCTCTGACCGGCTTTGTTTTATTACCGACGGCTTTGTTTTATCACCTACAGCTTTGTTTTATCACTAACAGCTTTGTTTTATCACCGACGGTTTTGTTTTATCAACAACGGCTTAGTTTTATCACCGACGGCTTTGTTTTATCACCGACATGTTTGTTTTATCACCGTCGGCTTAGTTTTATCACCGACATGTTTGTTTTATCACCGACATGTTTGTTTTATCACCGACATGTTTGTTTTATCACCGACATGTTTGTTTTATCACCGACATGTTTGTTTTATCACCGACATGTTTGTTTTATCACCGACGGCTTAGTTTTATCACCGACGGCTTTGTTTTATCACCGACTGCTTTGTTTTATCACCGACATGTTTGTTTTATTACCGACGGCTTAGTTTTATCACCGACGGCGTAGTTTTATTACCGACTACTTTGTATTATCACCGACATTTTTGTTTTATCACCGACGGCTTTGTTTTATCACCGACGGCTTTGTTTTATCACCGACGGCTTTGTTTTATCACCGACGGCTTTGTTTTATCACTAACAGCTTTGTTTTATCACCGACGGCTTTGTTTTATCACCGACGGCTTTGTTTTATCACCGTCGGCTTTGTTTTATCACCGACGGCTTTGTTTTATCACCGACGGCTTTGTTTTATCACTAACAGCTTTGTTTTATCACCGACGGCTTTGTTTTATCACCGACGGCTTTGTTTTATCACCGTCGGCTTTGTTTTATCACCGACGGCTTTGTTTTATCACCGACGGCTTTGTTTTATCACTAACAGCTTTGTTTTATCACCGACGGCTTTGTTTTATCACCGACGGCTTTGTTTTATCACCGTCGGCTTTGTTTTATCACCGACCTGTTTTGATCTCGTTGGTGCTGACCCAGTAGGGTACGCTGAGACCGAAGAAGACGGGCAGGCCAAACACGAACAGGTTCCGGGAGGAGTTCAGGTCAACGTACTGGAGGTTGGAGATTCCGACAGCCCCCACCATACCTGGTGACAAAGGTAAGAGAGGGGGGTGACGTCAGCTGTCTTGGTTAGTCCACATCGCTAAGTCTTGTTTACATTAACACCAGATGTGCAATAACTATAACAATTATTGCTACACGTACACGCACAAGTACACGCATACGCACACGCAAACAGACACACACACACCCACACACGTACACGCACACGTACACGCAAACAGACACACACACACACACGTACACGCAAACAAACACACACATACACAGACGTACACACACACCCACACCCACCCACACACGTACACGTACACGCACACGCAAACAGACACACACACACACGTACACACACACACCCACCCACACACGTACACACACACGCACGCCTACTGCCGACATGATGACCTACCGAACATGACGTAGAAGAGTCCACCAACCACAGGCTCTGGGATGGTCACGAACAACGCGCCAAATTTCCCCAGACATCCCAGCACCAGCATCAGACATCCGGCGACCTGAATCACCACACGACTCCCCACCTGCCGACAGACACATAACCATAATCCATAATTACGTTGATATTCAAATGTTACTTCACGGTGGGTAACCCCGATAAAATAAATAATTGTTTCTATTTATTTGAATTATGTCCCTTTAGATATCCATTCTACGAAATAAGTAAACAATGAAATATAAAATGACAACATTGTCAACAAGACATACGAGATGTCCTTTTCCTCTACATAGCTGTGCTGCCGTATGTGTAATAGACAACTTATTTTTACATTTTGTTGCAAGAATTACTAATCATTACTGAGGGGAAAAACTACAAAATTTAATGTTATTATTACACTCTATCCAAAACAATATTATGTTATATTTAGCGAGTCTTCTGTTGTTGTTTTTATTAAATGTCTTCCCAATAACATCAGTCTACTGTGATAAACAGGTGGATACCCTCACAACCTCCCCTGCACAATACACTCTGCTGGCTTTAATTTATGTGACCTCGCCTATAAATACTTACTTAGTTATTCCAATGTTTTACCTGTCCTGTAGTACTCACCTTGGTGATTCCAATGTTTTAGTTGTCCTGTAGTACTCACCTTGGTGATTCCAATGGCGCCGATATTCTCACTGTATGACGTGTTACCTCCACCTGTCCCCCACGCCCCAGCTAGCAGACACGTGATACCCTCCATGCCTATACCTGTGACATAAACACGAACATCATAAGTTAACACCTGTGATATAGACGTACAGCATAATTTAACACCTGCGACATAGACACGTACAGTATAATTCAACAACTACCGATGAAACATTAACACGTGCACTATACAACCCTGTAATTCCATAATCTAAAACCTCTTACAACTGTCAGTCTACATAATGTTCATGCTTACCTGAGTTTTAGCTCTATTAGGAATTACATTAGATGATAAAATGTTATACTTCGACTTTATACTGCTACATTATTATCCACAATCATGTTAATAACAGATGTATTCGTTGTTGGGGTTGTTGACAGTAATTATGGGTTGTCATTGTTTAACTACCAATACGGGTCGATGTGTGTAATTGGGTTGTCATTGGTTAACTACCAAGTTGGGTGTATGAGGGTAATTGGGTTTACATTGGTTAAATACATCGACGGGTTGTAGACAGCAATGTTGTCAATGTTTCCTAGGTATGCCAGATAATCGGGATGTCATTTGTTAACAATATACATGGGCGGTTGGGAGTAAAAGGGGTTGTTATCTGTTAACAACCTAGATATTGGGGTTGTCATTAGCTGTCTATGAAGACGGGTGGTTGTGAGTTACTGGGGATTGTCAATGGTACCTATATATTTGGGTTGTCATAGGTATCTATATATTGGGGTTGTCATTGGTACCTATATATTTGGGTTGTCATAGGTATCTATATATTGGGGTTGTCATTGGTACCTATATATTTGGGTTGTCATAGGTATCTATATATTGGGGTTGTCATTGGTACCTATATATTGGGGTTGTCATAGGTTGCCTATCTATATATTAGGGTTGTCATAGGTTGCCTACCAATATATTGGGGTTGTCATTGGTTGCCTACCTCGACTAATGGCACTGGGTGGCGGGGGTGGTGCACCAGCTAGTCTTGCGCATGCGTAGTAGTCTCCTACAGATTCAATAGCTGAAGCAAACATGGCAGCTAGCATGCCTAAAACTCCAGCTATAGTCACCCTAGGCACTCCCCACTGTCCTACAGGAAGATACAATGGCATGCAGAATTTATATTTTACTTTATAGTTTTTGTAGCTTCTTTTATTGTGTTATTCAAACAGAAATAGATTTTATATTTTACTTTATAGTTTTTGTAGCTTCTTTTATTGTGTTATTCAAACAGAAATAGATTTTATATTTTACTTTATAGTTTTTGTAGCTTCTTTTATTGTGTTATTCAAACAGAAATAGATTTTATATTTTACTTTATAGTTTTTGTAGCTTCTTTTATTGTGTTATTCAAACAGAAATAGATTTTATATTTTACTTCACAGTTTTTCTAGCTTCCTACTGTAGTTGAAACGAAAAACGAAATATGTTAAAGAATTTATTTTTTATTTTATGTTTGAAGTTTCTTTGCTTAGTAAGTCAAACGGAAAATGAAGTATTTCAAAGTTAGCTTTAATGCTTTGTGTTAGGCTCACACTTCAAAGACAGTGGATTCTTTAAGAGTATAAGCCTCACACAATCCTTGAACACATTGTGTACAAGTTGTACATGACCAGGTGTACAAGTTGTACACCAGGTGTCAACAAAACAACCCACCTGGATATGGAAACCGGAACCAGTCCGAATCAGACAAGGCTTTGACCCTGATGTCAGTTCTAGCCTTGTAGCCCCATTTCTCCGGCTCATTGGTCAGCACGTTGGTCTCCGTGAGGATGACGCATATAATCCAGGAGATGACGATAGCCAACAGCACCTGTATGGAAGTCATTAATAACACCATTATGTGGGAGTACAAATGGCCGCCTGTCAGTAATCAATCCAACATCACACAATAGACACAAGATGTTGTTTTTATACTGCTGGGACTGAGAGGTGATAAAGTAGAAAGAAAATTTAAAAAAAAAACAAATTTAATTTTCATTTTAATTTTAAAGTTTATTCTTGATAACTATTTAATTTGGTTTAACAAATACAGCACTAGTTAAGAGACACGCCCCCTCTCCCCGTCTCCATTTCTCTTATCCTTCATTGCACTCCAGAATAGAAGAAACGATTCTATGGTGGTATTCACAAACAATGTTTCTTCCAAACTTTTTTCTCCGGGAGGGGGGCACTTAAAATTTTCGGGGGAGGGGGGGGGGCGGTAGACTTTCTTCGGGGGGGGGGGGGGGGGCAGACACTGTTAAAAGTATACATTTTCTATATAAATTTCATATCGTTCGGGGGGGGGGGTAGACTTTCTTCGGGGGATCGGAGCCCCCCGCCCCCCCCCCCCCCCCCCCCCCTGAAGAGATGCCTGGAAGAAACTCTGAACACAAATCACCCGACGCATTACAACCTCACAAATAGCGAAAATTGGTTGATATAATAATAGATCAAAACATAAATTATTTAGCCGAATAATGTTGTACACAAACTTTGACAGAGCTTACCGGGAATAAGGCAAAGATCTTGAGTTTAATCTTCAAACATGGGAGTGGGATGGCAATATTTCTCAAATACTGGGAGAACAAGGCGACCAAGAAGATTGTCCTAAACAAGAAAATGTACCGTTAGTTTTGTTTCTGACAACATCGAACTTAGAGACTTGTCGTGGTATTGTAAGGGTGGACGGGAATTGGTGATGTAAATAAACAGACATGTGATTAAAATAAAACTTTAATGACCCCTGTAGAATACTACAGATATATGTATATACATATACATATACATATATATATATATATATATATATATATATATATATATATATATATATATATATATATATATATGCACCAGCACTCACGTGAAACAGATGTACCAGTGGGTTGACCCCTTGTCGGCTGCCACTTTAAAGAGGGAGAACGCTATGAGACTGATGGTCGGAGCGATGGTCAACGGTCCGATAAACCTCATTAGAAGTCCGACCATGCCAGTAAAACCTAACACGATGGACAGCAGCGAAGACACCATGAGCGCGCCCTGCAGCTGAAAGGATTTCATTTGTTGGATTCAGTACTGTATTAATGTGACTCTAGGATTTCATTGGTTGCATTAAGTACTGTAATAATGTGACTCTAAGATTTCATTGGTTGGATTAAGTACTGTAATAATGTGACTCTAGGATTTCATTGGTTGGATTCAGTACTGTAATAATGTGACTCTACGATTTCATTGGTTGGATTCAGTACTGTAATAATGTGACTCTACGATTTCATTGGTTGGATTCAGTACTGTAATAATATGACTCAAAAGCTCAACAAACACTGATCCTGAGGGTGTAACTAAACAATAGAATCAGTTGTCTTTTAAGTGGTAGTAGCAATGTAGCTCATATTTTAACCCTTCCTCTTCCACATGAGCAAAACACTAATCTTAACCTTTACGACGACCTTAGTCCTACTTTCTTAACTAATTATAGCAGTACTACTGACAAATAAATCCTCTATACCATTAGGCAAAAGACTGTTGCTAGTTATTTTACGTCGATTATAACACCAGTTCACTTTTACAGGTAACTTACTACTAATTCACCTGAAAGTATTATTCTTGTAGGCAGATGAAGCAGAGTTCACCAAATTATATTTTTGTCACTATAAAGTCGATAGCCCTGGTGTCTATCTCTCACAAACAAATTTCAACCCCTAAACTAAAACACTCAGTGGGTTAAGTATCCGTTTACCGCCCACCATAAAATATAATAAAGGTTTGCATAACAATATTTTATGTTAGCTTAATATGTGTAGGCAGGTTTTATTTGAGTCTCACAAAAACACATTAGCCTTACTATTCATATATATATATATATATATATATATATATATATATATATAAATATATATATATATATATATATATATATATATATATATATATATATATATATATATATATATATGTACGTTGATTTTAAAATATGCCTATAGCTTTGAGAGCCTATTTTGTACACAACAATAAATAGAGCGTATTTTTTACTTTAAAAATAAAACATATAACCAGAGTGCAACAATTTATTTTAAACAGCTGCTTTTCTTATTTAAATATTGAACTACTGAAACAAATTTTCTTTGCCGTGTTCCAATGATGGCGGAGTTAAAATTGTATAGAGAAAACTATAGTTAAAACATGATACGGTCTGAATACTCATCTTTACATTGTATAGAGAAAACTGTAGTTAAAACATGATACGGTCTGAATATTCATCATGAATACCTCGCAGAGGTTCGCCTTCCATACTCGTTGATGTTCAGCTGATCCCAAAACTGGCAGTAAGGATTTGTTTGCTGAAATAACAAACCGAAATTTTTCTCGAAACTTAGGCTACTATATATCCCCTAATTATGTTGTATGTTAAATATTTAGTTACTAAGAACATGTTTACGTAGTATCAATCAAGACATGTGGCAACATACCAAACAATGTTGATATTAAACCCCCACATGAGAATGGATAGGGCATACACTGAAAAGTGGAGAGGACAACATCAAGAGGAAAGCATTAGACAGGAATCCCCAGGGAAAGAAGAAATAAGGCCGGCCAAGGAAATCCTGGAGAAGGACAGCAGATGATGAGGTCAAGGGTCGCCGGGCTTACGTGAGCGTAGACAAAGAGAGCTGCCCAAAACCGGGTCCGGTGCAGCCCTTTGCTCCCCAGGGGCCAGAAAGGAATAAATGAAGAGAATTGAATAATGACGTTTACAAGGTATCTCATTCAGTGCCTTTATAATGAAAAGAAATATCGGATGTTTCTAATCTCTAATTAACGATCAAGAATGTTATAGAAAAAAACAGCTGTTTCAAGAACAGAAAATTAATCTAAGTAACCACATTAGTTTAGCTGGGTATAACATGACGCAAAATAGCACGAAAAGGTGGATCAAATGGCTTATTAGAACTGACTGGCCGTGCAGGGGCGGGTCTTCTACAGTTAATTAAGGGAGAATATCAAATCGGATGATGATATGTCATATAGAGCTTCAAGATTACATACATGATATTCTGACAGATCCTAGTATAGGCATGTAAACAAGCTAGGCTTACATCATTAACTCGTAGTACTTGTAGGTAATGACAGAACTACACCATTAAACCTATCTGACATGTCGTGGTACGGGCAGGTGTTAAAACTATGTTACCATTACACCTACCTGACAGGTCGTGGTACGTGCAGGTGTAAACAGTACTATGTTATGATTACACCCACCTGACAGGTCGTGGTACGTGCAGGTGTAAACAGTACTATGTTATGATTACACCCACCTGACAGGTCGTGGTACGGGCAGGTGTTAACAAAACTACACCATTACACCTACCTGAGAGGTCGTGGTACGGGCAGGTGTTAACAGTACTGTTATCATTAAACCTACCTGAGAGGTCGTGGTACGGGCAGGTGTTAACAGTACTGTTATCATTAAACCTACCTGAGAGGTCGTGGTACGGGCAGGTGTTAACAGTACTGTTATCATTAAACCTACCTGAGAGGTCGTGGTACGGGCAGGTGTTAACAGTACTGTTATCATTAAACCTACCTGAGAGGTCGTGGTACGGGCAGGTGTTAACAAAACTACACCATTAAACCTACCTGACAGGTCGTGGTACGGGCAGGTATTGGAGCTGACAGAGAGCACAACAAAAGCTGGGACAATGAAGGAGTAGCTGACACTCTGTATGATGGGGAGTCTTCAAGTGAGTAGAATACATTCATGATTTAACTGCTGTGTATGATTTAAAACAAAGCAACGTTTTTCTTAATTTTGTTTTTATTTTAATAGCCTTTATTTCACTAGCTTCTTCGTGAATTTGTCTGTTATGTGTCGAAACTGGCGAGTGAAATTTCGACCACTTCTACGAACCGATTTCTGTCTAAATTGGTACATGGGTCAAGAACCGATGACAAGCAATGTGATACAAACATGACTTAAATAGATGCTTAATTAATTTTTAAAGAACTAATTAAATATTTTATATTATGTACCATTGTAAGTATTGAAAAAAAAAACATAATAATGTTTAGCCAACAAAGTTTTATACAATTATGTATTAAAAAGTACTTTTTAAAAATACAATAATGACCAAATATTTAAATACCCAAAAAGCTGAGGTCGCAATATAAAATATTGAATACCTTCTCTAAAGTAACTAGTTATTGAATTTTCTTTTAATTTCGTGTTATAGATTAATAACATACCACGACTAAAAACACAATCGCACAATTAAAAGCTTCAAGCTTGTGCTTAATAGAAAACTATTAGTACTTTGTAACGCAATCTTGAATTTTCTTAAAAATAAAAAAAATTCAACAATTTATTTTATCAAATTTGCCACAGTACTTTGTCATTGAGTCTCGACCTACGTGTCAAGTTTATAACTAATGGGTTCAGTAGATGTGGGTGAAATAGAGTTCACCAGACAAGACGGACAAATCATGAATGCACGGAAGAGAAATGTAGCTAATCAAACTAAATATAACGTAATTAACGTAATTAATTATTCAACAAAAAGTCGGTTACATTCCACACACGTAATTATCCTATTCAAGATCCCCAGTAATTTGTATCAGAGTTTCTTCCAGGCATCTCATCGGGGGGGCCAAGCCCCCCCGAAAAATTTTTACCCCCCCACCCCCCCCCCCCCCCCCCCCCCCGAACGGAATGAAATTTATATAATTTATATAGAAAATATATACTTTTAACAGTGTCCGCCCCCCCCCCCCCCCCGAAGAAAGTTTACCCCCCCCCCCCCCCCCCCCGAAAATTTCAAGTGCCCCCCGGAGAAAAAAGTCTGGAAGAAACACTGATTTGTATCTTGTTTTATATTATAATCTAACACAGTCTCTGTCTCTTTTGTTTGGGTTACCTTACACCGAATGTCGTCTGTAGAAGGGAAGATAACCCCGAGACAAATATCACAGTGCTTATTAGCTCCCCTAGTCCTACGTCATCTCCTTCAATACACAACACACCGCTTATAATCACAGGATAGGCGAATGTGGCCCCAAAAGCTGTCAAAAATTGCTGGGGATGGAGAGGAAGATATGATTATCTGGAGGAATAGCTTGAAGTACTCTCTATGTGAAAATATTAACTAGGTCGGTGGGGGTGGCTTAGACAACTGATAGTCTTCACATTTTTTATAAAAATGTGTCACATACTCAACATACTTTGATCATGGAGGTACAGACGTGTTAATGACGTCATAGTTATGGGGGAGGGAAATGGTTCTGACTTCCGTGAGAATGTGTGCCGGGGGGGGGGGGTTAAAATAGTGCCGTCGTTAAAAAAAATGTTTTTTTTACAGTTATCTCGTTGTTGTTTTTTCTTCTTTCTATATTTGTTTTGTAAATTGAAATAAAAATTGATTGAAGGATCGAATCTTGGCGTCTGACACTTTTATCTCAGGAAAGGCGATAAAAAATGTTTTTAAATTTCCTGACGTCATTTATTGACAACCCGCTAGAATATAGTCATGACAAATGTGTGAAATATGTTACATACGTTTATTAGAGTAACAATTCAACATAAGATAATGTAAAATTTTACCTGAAAACCAAGCAATAAACAAAGATACCACGGCGGAATGTCATCAACCTTGTATAAAATATCCGACTTCTCCATTTTGAGAGGATTGTATTGCTTGTTTTTTCTTACATAACTTTGCTGACGTCAATCAACTTTGCCTGAGAGGCTGACGTCACTGATTACTAAGTTTTAACCCAAAAATCAAAGACGTCTATGGTATTTCTGTCTGAAACAAACAATACAGATAAACTAAATATAGACTACTCGTCACCACTGACATTTTACTGGACTTTCAATCTAACTAACGGCAAGATAGGAAAAACTAAAATTTCTATAGAAATTATTGACAATGTTTTTACAATTATTATGTAACTCTGAAAGTTTTTCACGGTCCTATTTCAGACTTTCTTGTAAAGCAACTCAAGGCATGGCAAGTAGCTACATCTTTGTTTCGGATCTTTTAGACAGATAAGAAGGTAAAGGGCGTAGACGATATTTCAGCGACAAGATTTTCGTTCTGTCAAGCTTATTAAAAATTCTCAGTAGGAGGTTGATTATAATAATTAAAAGTAGCGTAGCAAGCTATGACCTAATTAACTATTAGAATGTTTTGTATTATCAACTTTGGTTACACATGTATCAAGTAGGTGTAACTATTAACATATTTAATGGTTGGAACCTATATGAGGTTTTAGAAAATATATTTCTGAAAGTAAAGTAATTAATTTTTGTTTGTATGTGTACAGTTATAAAAGTCGTATTGTGAGGAGTGGTGATTTAATGATTATTTAATGGAGAAAAATGACGTATTTTGTGTGTTGCGTAAGTATGTGTGTGCATGTCTATGTGTATGCGTGTGTGTCCGTGGGTGAGTGTATGGGAGTAAGTGTGTATGTGTGTGTCTGTGTGCGTATGTAAGTAAGTGTGTATGTTTGTGTCTGTGTGCGTATGTATCTTGTAAGAGTCGAAGTGTTGGAAGTGATGATTTAGTAAAAAGGTGTCATTGTATGCCTGTGCTTGTGTGGTTGGTTTAAGTGTGTTGGTGCGTGTGTGTGTACGTATGTGTGCGTGCCTCTATGTGCATTTGTGTGTCTGTGTGTGTGTGCGTGTGTGTTTAGATGTGAGAGTTAAGTCTTGTCCATAGTGTGCATGTGTATACATAGGTGTGTATAGTGTGCTTAGATGCGTGCGAGTGCGCGTGTACATATCTTTTTATATGTGTTTGTGTATGTGTATAGTAGTTAAAGTCACTTTCGTATGTATCCGGTTGACGAAAGTGTCGCCTTGACATAAACCTGAACGTACACAATGGCTGTCAAGCTTGCCTGTTTGAGTTATGCGAACATGAGAAGTTAGAGGGCAGGTAAGGTGCGTGTAACACCTTTATATAACACACCTGTGTGTAACACCTTTACGTAACATACCTGTGTGTAACACTTTTTTCTTAGCACAAGTGGAATACCTTTATAAAACAAAGGTGTCTTATATAATTAGATGTTTAAAAATGTAATCCTAAAATGCCTACCTAAATTAATGTTGTTCATTAATCCAATGTGCATGTGTCTTACTTTAAACGATGAGGTGAATATAAAAAAAGGATTGTAAGTTAAAATTAATAATACAATCCAAATACATCAAGCTCAGGTTTTAAAAAGTTAGGACTCCAGTTAATAAACTCCATGCAAACAAATCACGAATGTGTAAAATGGTCACGTTGAACCATCGTCTCATGTTAAGTTAAAATAAAGGGAAAGAACTCGTAAATGTTTTGTACAAGGGGAAAGAACTTTAGGATAAGTTTTTTTAACCAGCGACGTGACTTCCTAACCATTATCTAATGGGCCAGTAATGGATTCATACAAGCAGCCGTTATACTCGTGTTTACTTTAGGCTAATTATGTTTTTTTTTATTATTGCTAAAAGGAATCCGATACTTCTGTGGTCTCATTGATAATGTTAGTCAACACTAAAAAAATTTATATACTAGAAGTTATGTATGTTGTGATTTTAAAATTATCAAGTACTACAAGCAATATCAAAATTCGTGTATGTAACCTTACATTAAAAAAAAACAATCCAGGAAAATACTCAAAAGCAGAGGTCGGCAACCCTTTGAGACGATGGAGCCGAAAGTTATAATTTAGAAGTATTTCCCAGTCTTTAAAGAGCCACATTTTTTTCTTCAATATTTGATTAGAATTATGTAAATAAATTTGATTTGTTATTTAAAATAATTAGATTTAAATATGAAATAATAATAATATTCATATAAAAACATAGACATGTTTCGGCTGTTGACTTTTTTTTTCTGTCTTTACGGACACCACCGGCTCACGAGGTGTCTCCCATTAGCCAGACGGGCCTCAACACGGAAAACACCGACTAACTGGCTTGGATATCGGTTCTGTCCTTTGGTTCTGACCAGGTTATTTCCATCCGACTGAAGGCATGGATAAACTCGTACCCCACCGTCCAGAACCAGGCACAATAGTTGGAAGCTAATAGCTAAAAAAACTACGTCACTCCGGTCAAACTAATGATTACTGACAGATAGGGAAATGCATTCTGAATAAAATAACATTCCCTCATTCAACGATATTCGAAAAAGTCGGCACTTGGCCAGTGGCAAGCATGGAATTATTACCATGGGGCTCTCCATAGCACTGCTGTGGGGCTGGACCTGGTGCCCAAGCGGCTATTAGCTGTCCGTATACTTTCTACTGCACCTATTCTCACTGTTCTCTAATGAGTGTTTTTATCCTGTTTAAAGTTGTGTTTCTTTATAGTGTAATATTTGTTTTGAATATAAAATAATATAACTTTTTAGGTTTATGCAAGGAGCTGGAGAGCCGCATTTTGACAGCAAAAGAGCCGCAGGTTGCCGACCTCTGCTCAAAAGCACTAACATACAAATGTTCATATTGTGAGGATGCACAATCCATATTTACCACAAAGAAACAGCTAAAAACGCTCTTCAAAAACTGGCACCCAGACAACGATGCAGCATACAACGAAGTTTACTGCAGACAAAACTCAAACAACGAAGTAACATATGTCTACAGAGACGAAGAGGACAAGTCCAACCAACAATGAATTATAACTGCAATGTTTCAAATGACAACCAACTAACACCACAAGAGATTAAATAATCATAAACTTTTTGTATTAAATCCAACTTTTTTTATCTTGTTAAAAACCCAATTAAAAGAAGAAATATATATATATATATATATATATATATATATATATATATATATATATATATATATATATATATATATATATATATATATAAATGTATATATATATATATATATATATATATATATATATATATATATATATATATATATATATATATATATATATATATAATATGTGTTATTTTGATTACATTAATTATTATAAATGTGCTAAAAGGGTTTTCAATCAATTAAGTACTGTTATTATTTTTATATTAATCACTGTTTTGACATAAACAATTGTGGCAGGTTGCTTACACAAGACAATCATGTTTATAAAAAAAATAAACTATAAACATTACTTGGATAAATTTTTAGTGAAAGCATTTTATACGTGGAAAAAAAAATTCATAAAAAACGTTTTAATAACAAGCTTTTATGTAATGATGCACTAAAAAGTAGAAAATAAATTATAGACTACTATTTAAATAACTATAAAGAAAAGCGTGGGTCACTTTAGTATCTATTGGATACCTTTACTAATGTTAAGGAAGACACCCACGCTTTTCTTTATAGTTATTTAAATAGTAGTCTATAATTTATTTTCTACTTTTTAGTGCATCATTACATAAAAGCTTGTTATTAAAACGTTTTTTATGAATTTTTTTTCAGTACTTTACATGTTTTATTTACAATAGAGTTACATGACTAAAAACCATTGCGCGCCTACTGAACATCACGTTCAGTAGGCGCGCAATGGTTTTTGAACGCAGCCATTACGTGATGGCGCAGCTATTGAAGGTGATGACGCGTGTGGTGTGGTTGGCTAGACATGCCTACTAATTCGGTCCAAATTTTAATTAATTCATAAAAAATCAATTAGGCATCCAATTAAGTCAAATTTAGTTTCAGATTGCATTGTCTTCATGTCTTGACCCACGTGCCAACTGTGAATCGTATCGGTCAAGTAGAACTGTCCGAATTTTCACTCCTGCGTTTCCGTCTAGACCAGTGGTTCCCAACCTTTTTCGAGTGGCGACCCCCTTTTATAAAAAGTAAGTGACCCGCGACCCCCATAAAATTAAAAGCCGAAATTAGTATGGACATTAATAAGGACTAAAATAAGAATTTCTAGAAGAAATTCAATATGAACTACTCTTGATAACTGTTTCAATACGATGAGTAAAATTGCATGCTATTTAATAAACATTCGCGGTTAAGTTATTGTTAACGCCAACATATGTCATTATCAACATTAAATGTATTTCTTAATTTTGTTTTTAATCGGAGAATAGTGTTGAAAATTATTCTCGAAAATATGTTTGGGTATTAATGGTGAATACTACACCAAAATTGTGTGTGCAGTTTTTCATCTTACGCGGAATCATTCTGCAAATCAAAGATTTCATCTTGTAATTCATCGGGAATGCTGGCAACATCAAGGGAAGAAGGGAATGTGTAATGCGTCAATGCAGATTCTTCTTCTTTCTATTCAGATAAATAGCGCCGCAGTTCGTTTTCAATGATTCAAGATGCCCAGAAATCGCTTCTTTCAAAATTTTAATTATCTCACAATCAGATTCATCTACCACACTGCAGAGTTTCTCAAATTTACAATATTTCCAAGATTTATTTTCTTCGCCAATTCTGCAGCTTTGATAAAAATGCCCCGAGATTATCATGGAAAGTGATAATATTCGTTCATTTTCCCTGAAGCTTCAGGTTAAGCTTATGTTGATGTTCGAATGTATCTCTCCAACCACTCTATGTCGTTTTAAGTATACCAAAAGGTCTTGTTTCCTTTGCACTTCCAAGAACAATTTGATTTCAAATTTCAATTCAAAAACACGATTCACAACAATTCCTTTGACAGCCAGCGTACTGTAGTGTAGAAAAGCAGAACCTCGTGATCTATATTAATGTCTTTGCTCAGTTTTTTGAAGGTTCCAGATTTAATGTAATGTACGACTTTTACTAGTCATAATGGAGAGGGCATACTGGAGAATCATGCAGCGGTTAGGGAGCTATATCGTTTCTGTTTTCTGAAAGTCCGATTGTAACCTAAACATAGATGGTGCACCATCCGTACAACCTCCCACAGCCGTTTTAACCCATTTTAGTCATCAAATTAAAAAAAAAACGTATTTATTTTCTCCACGCTATCTTCACAAAATAGCAACTCTTCTTTGCTATCATCTGAATGAATATAGGCAAAGACCAGCAACTGCGAACACGAACTCACGTCTGTTGATTTATCAAATTAAAAAGCAAACAATGGTGAACGCTTGATTTCATTAAAAATTTGTTATTTAACATCTACGGACATGTCTGCTATAAGCTGCTGAATAATATTATTAGGCAGAGATATTTGTTCCCTTTTTCATTGAACTGGAATCCCCAACAATTAACTTCACCATCTTCAACATGCAGCGTTTGATGAGATTTTCTCCTACTGTGTATTTTTTTTTTGCTTGGCATTTTCTGTCACGACTTCATTTGATGCTTGCACTAATGCTGTGTTTCCTTGGTGAAAACTTCCTGTTCGATCAAGTCTCTGACGTTTGCAACTAGCTTCATGCCGACGAAAGAACTCCATATTTTTTTTGGTGTGTTCAGAATGACTTGTCTCAAATGACGTTTTAGTTTTGAAGATGTCATAAACTCGTGACTGAAAACAACTTTATACTGTACCCATTGCTTCTTCTCTTTTCCATTTCCAGTGATGTTAGTAAAGCCGAACTTCAGATATTCGTCTAAATATTTATGTTTTGTTTTTCATCAATAAGGTTTAATATACCAGTTGGCGACCCCCCAGAAAGCCCTTCGCGACCCCCAGGGGGGTCGCGACCCCCAGGTTGGGAACCCGTGGTCTAGACAGACAGACAGACAGAGGAAGTGAGTTAAATAAAAGCTTGTAAAAAAAAAAATCATAAAAAACGTTTTAATAACAAGCTTTTATGTAACAATGCACTAAAAAGTAGAAAATAAATTATAGACTACTATTTAAATAACTATAAAGAAAAGCGTGGGTCACTTTAGTATCTATTGGATACATTTACTAATGTTAAGGAAGACACCCACGCTTTTCTTTATAGTTATTTAAATAGTAGTCTATAATTTATTTTCTACTTTTTAGTGCATTGTTACATAAAAGCTTGTTATTAAAACGTTTTTTATGAATTTTTTTTTCAATACTTTACATGTTTTATTTACAATAGAGTTACATGACTAAAAACCATTGCGCGCCTACTGAACATCACGTTCAGTAGGCGCGCAATGGTTTTTGAACGCAGCCATTACGTGATGGCGCAGCTATTGAAGGTGATGACGCGTGTGGTGTGGTTGGCTAGACATGCCTACTAATTCGGTCCAAATTTTAATTAATTAATAAAAAATTAATTAGGCATCCAATTAAGTCAAATTTAGTTTCAGATTGCATTGTCTTCATGTCTTGACCCATGTGCCAACTGTGAATCGTGTCGGTCAAGTAGAACTGTCCGAATTTTCACTCCTGCGTTACTATCTAGACTTACGACT